GTTAAGAAGAATAAGGCTTATGGGAAGAGCCAGTAGGTTTTGAAATTAGGAGATTTCTTTAGAAAGTGAATGTTCCATGAAGTAAAATTGTGGTGGCGGAGTAAGGAGCAGTACCATGTTCTGATGGTAATCAAGGAGAGGCTGCAGTTGTAAATTATTAATTGTAGAGACATTTAGTAGTGAAAGGTTGAAAAATTTTTAGGATAGTAGGTATAGGCGATATGTTCAAGGTGGCCTTTGTTGTTGCTGGTTTTTGTTGTTGTTTTTTAAAGAATATCAGGTATCTCTGTGTGGTTATATTTAAAGGGAAAAGAGCCCTTGAGGAAGGGATGTTTGAAAGGCAATAATAACAGTAACAATCATTTACATAGCACTTACTGTATGCCAGCACTTTGCATGTATTAACTAATTTCAGTCCACATAATAACCAATAAGATAGTACAGATATAGTTTGGAATTGTTACTGGTGGAAGTGGAGTTCTTGGGGTGGTGCGAGGAAAATAATTTCCTGAGGCGTCCATGGGCAGACGGGGTTTCATGGAAAGCTTTATTGATGGTGTAAATTAGGGGGATTCCCCTCTAAGGTCCCATCTCTGTCCATCTCACATGGAAGAAATCCAATCTTGTCTTCTGCAGGGCCAGAATTAGGGCCACTGCCCAGAATTTCTGCTCCATATTTAAAGCAGGCCAGTCTAGCATCCTGCATGTGGAGTCTGCATGGCCAAGGGCCATGTGGCTGCTTAAGGCCACATGGCTATGGAGGTGAGTGCACGGGCGAGTGGAGTGGGGGTCACAGAGCAAGAGAAAGCAAGAACAAGAGCGCAAGAGCGAGAGAACTCTCTCTCTGGGGATTTTAACCTTTCAAGATTAAAATCCAAGCTTGCATTGGGATCTACCCCCTCGCCAACCCATTGTTCCCCGGGCTAGATTGACAGCAAGCACCTTCCCTAAGTCACCCTGACTTCACTGTCCATCACCCCTTTGTTTGGGCCATTCCCTCAGTGATCTTCAGGGAATAGGTGGTTGGTTCCCTGGGGAGCATGAAGCTATAGCTTCCTGGTGAAGTGTCCATGCTTATAATGTCTGACCTCCTCCTTGCTCTCTTCCTGTTATTAATATTAATAAACTAGCTAATTATGACAGTAACATAATTATTGACATGTGGAGTGTACCAAGGAATTAAGGTAATTGCCTGTTGATTTATCAGGGAAAATATAGTTTCTTAAATAAATTACAAGTAAACTGCTATATAGAATAACAGAAACTAGAGATGTGAGCAACTTTCCTGGTTAAACTGTTTGGATATCTTGTAGATGCACTTTGACTTCTAATGTTAGGGTTACTTTTGGCTTTAATCACTAGTAATGGGTTACTTACTGTTCCTTCATTAGAAACAGAGATACTCTTCATGGTTTTTCCATTTGAATCATTGATTAGTTGAACACGGTCATTCTTTGATGACCTTCTAAAATGTTACCCTATTCCTTGTAATAGGTTCAGTTGTTTGCCTTTTTAAGTTAAACTGCTCTTTATTGATTGATTGATTGATTTTAGAGAAAGAGAGAAACAAGAGAAAGACAGAGAGAGAGAAAGAGAGAGAGAAAGAGAATCAATTTGTTGTTCCACTTATTTATGCATTCACTGCTTGATTCTTGTATGTGCCCTGACCAGAGATCAAACCCACAACCTTGGCATATCAGGATGATGCTCTAATCAACTGAGCTACCTGGCCAGGGCCTGAATTTTGTATTTTTAAAATAATTGTAAAATTCAAGTGTTTCTCCAAGCACTTAGCTAAATTGTACTGACATATCACTTATCTTATGTGAGGTTTATTGTTCTTTTTATACAATTAGAAGACTTATTCCCGGTAACTTACAACTTTCTGGTATCCTGAGGTCCCCAAACCAAAATTTACTTTTCTGCTTTTAGGCATAGCAGGTCACTCATTAAATGAACTTATTCATTGCTTATTTTGAAAACTTGCTAGTACTCTCACGTGCTTATCACATCAAATCTCAGCCATTGTGTGAAATAGGTATTGTGTCACTGTATTACAGACCTGGAAAACAAAGTTCAGAATACCTAAGTAGTTTAGGATTTTACAAAGCAGTAAAAATGTGGAAATTGAACCCACGTCTTCTAACTCAAAGTCTAGTCCTAGTACTCTTTGTATAATATCACAATTATTCTATATCACTTGCTCCTTATAGCAACTTGACATTATACTGTATTTGAGCTGTCCTTTTCACAGAAATGTATTCAAGTTTTATTCCATTTTATTTTGTCATTATACATATATATATATATATATATATATATAATATATATTTTTTTTAGTTTGAGATTGCCAATATCATCTGGAATGATACTATTATCTACCAGCTTAGTAATTTTAGTTATAATTTTGCATTGAATCAGTAATATGCATATAGTACAAGGTAATTTTTACATAATTTTAAAATCTTTTTTTTATTTTTGCAGATATCAATTCCTTTTCACTTAAAAACATAATTTAAAATTAACTTCGATAAGTTGTAAGAAATGGTTCAAAGAATTCCCGTATACCCTTTAGCCAGATTTAGATGTTGTTAACATTTTGCTATATTGATTTGCTTTACCTTTTTCTCTTTCTCTCCCTCTTCATATATACATATAAATATATACACTCTCCATATATGCATATATATACTTATAAATTTTTTTCTTCTGAACCATTTATGAGTAAGTTACAGACATTATGCTCTTTTACCCCCAAATACTTCAGTATTGCTTAAGAAGTTCTTTTTCTTAAACATTTTTTCTTAAATAGATTTTTAGAGAGAAAGAGGAAGGGGAAAGGAGAGAGAGAGAGAGAGAGAGAGAGAGAAGAGAGAGAAACATTGATCTGCTGCCTCCCCCACGAGGGAACTAATCCGCAACCCAGGCTTATGCCCTGACCAGGAATTGAACCAGCGACCTTTCTGTGCACGGGATGATGTTCAGCCAACTGAGCCACACCAACCAGGGCATGTTTTTCTTCTTTTAAATAGGTTGTTAGAGCCATGTGGGTAGAACTCTTATTTTCTCACGTGTCTTTAGTAGATGACATTGGAAAAGAATCATGTTGTTTGGTGCTAGCCCTGCCACTTAAGTGAAATATTTTGTCATCAGTATTTCTTTGGACCATTTGTTACTGCCTCCTGGGCTTTGTTCTTTTTGGCTCTCACCTCTAGTTTCTGACACACCTAGAGCAAATGTGAGAGCTTATTGCCTTACCCTACATAATACTGCCATTCAGAGCCTGGAATCTTCTTTTTCCGCTACTGCCTATTTTCCCTTTGCTCCCTAAACTCAGGGGTGTGTCCTTAGGGCAGGCTGAGTTTCAGTGAGCTCCTAATGTGGATATTGGAAGCCCCACCTGCCTGCCAAGTCCTTTTGGCTGTGAGCAAAGTAGAGGCTTGGTACTTGTCATTCCTCTGCAGCAGTTGAGCTGAAGGAATGCTGCAGGGCTTGTTGGAAGTTGCTTAGCACCTTGCGTGGGTGTGTGTGAGGGTGTGTGTGTAGAGTTGAGGGTCTTGTGTAGTTAGTGTGGGAGACCTGAAATCCTTCCTGGTGCCATGCTAATCATTAGGCAGTATTTATTGAATACCTCCTTATGACTAGCACTGTGATAGGAGCTCTTGGAATAGTATAATAAAATACTTCATTAAATCACAGTATATTAGGCAAACAATTCTAGCTCTGCCACTTACCAGCTTTGATTTGGGCAAGTTAATGTCTTTAAGCCTCACTTTACTTTCTATAAAATCAAGCTATTAAATCCTACATGATAGGGCTGTTGTGGAGATTGAATAAAGAATGTAAGTATAGTGTTTAGCACATGTCTGACAATAGTTAGGATTTCATTTCATAGTCATATTTAGGATTTATGACTGACACCATATAAAACAAATAGAGAGTAATAAAACAAATAGAGAATAATATAACTCTACAGTGTGTAATCAAATACTTAAATTATGACATGTAAATTATAAATAGTCTGGGAATTTAGAGAAGAGAAAGAAGTCTTGTGCAACCATTTACTGTTTCTGTGCCTCAGTTTTTCCAATGGACACACTGTGGAGATGCTAGGTGACATCCCAGAGAATGATTAAGGTATTATAGCATTTTAGCTTTTTTAGGTGGTTTATGTGATGGTGGAAAAAAGGGAGAAGCTTGAGGAGCTGTTAGAAACCAAATTTGACACTTATTCTTAATTTTTTCCTTATGTGGTCATGGCAGCCTTATAGGAAAATTTGAAGCTGGAGATTAGAAGCATTGCCTTCCAAAGAAGGTACTTGCTTTGGTATTTCTCCCTGTTGCCTCACTGGCATTTTAATTAGTTGAGAACTCATGGATGGCCTCTGATTGTAAGCACCTCGGATATAATCTGAGGATTAAGTGATTTGTACCCCAAATTATCTCTCTGATCTTCTGGCAAAAATATAACATACAAACAGACAGGGCAGGATAAGATTTAGTTCCCTTGGACTAATGTTAAGGACATACGATTTACTTACCATGAGTAGTTCTCTGGGATGTGACATCTTTACTCGAACAGAATCTAGACTGATAACTTGGCCCTCCCAACTTCTAAATAGCCATGAATATGTAAAATACCTTTAAAAATTTCTTTACTTACAATATCCAAAAGGAACTGTTTCAACTCCTTGTTTGGTATGTACTTACTTGGTAATTTTTTTGCAAATTGTGTATTTGGTTTTAATTTTTGTCTAGATCAATTCTCTTCTAGAAAATTTCAGAGAAGTTTCCCATGAAAGTAAAGCTGCTCATACTTTTTTTTTTCCTCTTTGGTTTCTCCTTTTTGTTGTTGTTAGTTTTTTTCTTCTTGGAATTGTTTGCCAAGGTTTCAAGTTTATAGTGAGAGGTGAGGCAACGTTGATCTTGGCAGAACAGCACAAAGCCAGTAGAGTCATTAAGTGACGCAAGCTTTTGATTTTTTTTTCTTTCTGTTAAAGCTCTCTGGCACAGCTGGCTATTCTAGTCACAGAGGAAGAGAGGAGAAGAAGTTCTGGGTGGAATGATAGAAGATGTTTGGAGCATATTAAAAAACAGCAGCAGCAACAGCAAATGCCCCATATAATTCAAACAAGCTTCTTAGCTCTGTGGAAGCTATGTCAGTTGCTTAGAACTTGAGTTTTTACTTCAGAGGATGATGGGACAAGGCAATAGAAGGCGAGGAGGGTTGCGTTGGATTCTTGCTTATCTGTCTGCCTCTCCTTCCAGTTGGAAAAATCTTCAATCCACAAGAAGCATTGTTAACAAGCCTAAGGAATACATCTTACCCTGATCCTGGATTCTGTTGGAATTGAGGATTACAGCCACTTCACCAGGATTTTATGGAGGTAGTTCAAGAAAAATAGAAGGAAACAATACTCAAGAATTTCTCTGTTTACATTAGTCCTGTGCCATGTTAAATTTCGGATATTGTTTGGAGCAAGTTGGGGACAGCTCTCTCATGTGGATCTAAGTGGATACCTGCATTCCTCAAGCTACATATATGATGTTTGGAAGGCTGTAAACTCAAATTCTTTCAACATATGTTCATTAAGTTCTGGATTCTCTTTCTATTAAGGACTTTAGCAGACAGAAACTCCCTCATCAAAAGACACAAAACCTCCTCTGTGTTTTCAGGCTAAATGTGAACAATCATGTCTTGGAAGAGAAATTATTTTTCAGGGGGCCGTGGTAGTGTCCAAGGGATGTTTGCACCTCGAAGCTCAACCTCTATAGCCCCCAGCAAAGGCCTCAGCAATGAGCCAGGACAAAACAGTTGCTTCCTCAATAGTGCCTTGCAGGTAAGGGCTATTTCTTTCTTTTTGGTTAAATGTATTTTAGTTGCTGGTGCTGTATTTCTGATAACTCTTAAATATAATACTTGACGGTCTCTGTTTGAGGTCAGCACCCTGAGATCATTTTTTAGGTTTATCTGTGTGATCTTAGGCAAGACACTTTATCTCTGAGTCTCAATTACCTCAGTGGTAAAAAGGGGATTAATATGATAATGAAATAATGACTGTAACTACTACTACTTACCTGCCTAAAGGGGAGGAGGTACACAGACTAGATGATCTTACTACTTGTTTATTGACCTTTTTTCCTGATCAGTCTCTTATTTCCTTTTTTACCCTAGTTGCTTTTCTCTAATATAAAATGCAAAATTCTGCCCAGCCGGTGTTGCTCAGTGGTTGAGTGTCGACCTATGAACGAGTGGTTACGGTTCAATTCCTGGTCAGGGCACTTGCCCAGTTTGTGGGCTCAATCCCCAGTGTGGGGCGTGCAGGAGGCAGCTGATCGATGATTCTCTCTCATCATTGATGTTTCTGTCTCTCTTCCCCTCTCCCTTCCTCTCTGAAATAAAAATATATTTTTAAAAACAGCAAAATTCTTTCCACAAGTCAGACTTTCTTGTCTCATAATTTTCAGGCTTTTAGCACATATACTGAATGGAGTCCAGGCTTTGTTCATTTCTTCATCTCCTTCCTATGAGATCACACGTAGTAGCTCATAATTGGTGTCTGGTTAAATATGCTTGAACAGAGCTAGTGGAAAGTAAATTTTCCTAAGATGATTATCTACTCTAGATTTTCCCTTTTGTTGTTGCTTGCCACCTTAGTGGTCGCAGAATCCCAAAGCTTCCTGATCTGCCTAATCAGGCCCATAATGTTAGGTTCATACCCCTTGTTCTAACTTTCAAGTAATCCCTTTCCTCTCTTTTATACTTTTCAGAGTAAAAGTAAATGAAAATTTCCACCCAAGACAATTATGCTTTGGTTAAGTATTATTAGTTTTATACCTCAGATTTAATGAGAAAGTAAGTTACTAATGAGAGAAGAAAAGACAAGAGTATTTAATATAAAAAGCATTGGACTTAGGAATTAGGAGACCTGGATTCTACTCTTTGGCCTTCTGTAGACTAGTCTTGTGACCTTGTACAGGTAATAGTATTTCAGTTTCCTCATTCATAATAAAAGAATCGTGTCAAGCTTATTTGTGTAATCAAGATTTCATACTCCCAGTTTCTAAATTTTTATTTGGAAACATTAAAAAATCCTATGCTATGAAGCCTATAGGAAGAGTTTAAGCACTTTCACTAATTACTACCACAAATTTCTTGCAGTTGAGTGGGTTGGTTAGGTTTTTTTCTAGGTGATGCATATTAGGTTTTTGAGTGACTTTGCATAAACTAATAATACTTTTGTAATTTAGAAGCAGGCAAAATAGTGTTGGCTATAGGTGTGTTTGTGTTTACATCCTTTCTCGCCATAGTCCTGTTTTTATAATTCTGTTTCTATATTTTCTGTCTATACTGTCAATTGAAACAATATTTATGACTTTCCGTTCTAATTTCCAGTGCTATATGCTATATATACACACACATACATATTTTTATACCCATATTTAAGGATTGTGTCATTGGTGATTTTGGATTGCATACTATAATTGTGTTACAAGTTGAAAATAGTTGTTTCTATGAGCTAATTTTCTAACTTTTGATATGAAAGCTGTGTTCACCACAGCTGTGTTGAATCCATTACATTTGTTTAAAAAGCTGTTACTTATTTGGGAGCATAGTGTGTTTCAAAAAAAATTTGAAATATATACTTTGAGACAATAAGTAAGAAGCTCCAGAGGTGTTCTGTGATCTGGGGCTCCAGTCACAGAATTGTAGTGCCTTTTCATATATGGTGACATTTAAATGTTTTCCAGGCAAAAGGAACTCACTAAGGAATTATGCTATATATTACACCATTTCTTTTATAACTAAAGTCCATAGTTTATCTAGATGTCTTTAGTTTTTACCTAGTGTCTGTTTCTATTCCTAGATCCCATCTGGGATACCACATTTACATTTACTTGTCATGTTTCCTTAGGTTCATCTTGGCTATAACAGTTTCTCAAAATTTCCTTGTTTTTGATGACCTTGACAGTTTTGAGAAGTACTAGTCAAGTATTTCATAGGATGTCCCACTGTTTGAACTTGTTTGATGTTTTCCTCATGATTAAATTGGGGGTAAGGGTTTTTAAGAGGAAGACCATAACAATAAAGTGCCATTTTCATCACATCATATCAAGGTTACATACTATTGACATGATTTATCATTGTTGATATCACCTTTATTTTTAATCTGACTTAAGGAAGTTACAACTCGCCAAAAATTGAGAAGTCTAACAAAGACAAAATCCCACACTATATAATTCAAGCTTCTAAATACGTTTTTATTTTTTTTAAATAGATTTTATTGATTTTTACAGAGAGGAAGGGAGAGGGATAGAGAGTCAGAAACATCGATGAGAGAGAAACATCGATCAGCTGCCTCCTGCACACCCCCTACTGGGGATGTGCACACAACCAAGGTACATGCCCTTGACCAGAATCGAACCTGGGACCCTTGAGTCCGCAGGTCGACGCTCTATCCACTGAGCCAAACCAGTTAGGGCTCTAAATATGTTTTTAAATATTCATGCTTTTTTGTGGACCATTAAAATAAAATCTTACTCTGCAGCTATTAACCCATAAATATCCTCTTCAGGTTCACATTTGATGTATGTCATACCATATTTTCTGTGTGACCTTCCTTTGTGTTCAAATTACTGTCTTTTCCAGAACATGGTCGTCTATCCCTCTTGTTAGATGCCTCCTCATCTTTTTTTGACATTTAATATACTAGAATAAACTTTGCGCTTGGGAATAAAGACATATTCTGCAATCATTACCAATATTCGCTTGAACTCTTGAATTTAAAATTAAATGGTGGCTTCTTATAGAATAATGTGTTTTCCCTTCTTTGCCAGGTTTTATGGCACTTGGACATCTTCCGACGTAGCTTTAGGCAGCTTACAACTCACAAATGCATGGGAGATTCCTGCATCTTTTGTGCTCTCAAGGTAAGTACTTCAAATTTGATTCTTCTCACTACCATTAGGTTGCCAAATGATCAATATTGAGGATGCTTTTGATTAACCAAGGTTATTTGCTTGTGGTTCAGTGTAAAGGATAACTATCATTAGTTTTATTTTTCTTCAGAGAATTACTACTTGGCTTAAGAAGTCTGTTTTTTTAACCTTTTTGCCTATGCAGCTCTATTTAAGGTGATAGGATAGTATTAAAATGTGCTTAGACTTTGAGTGTTTAACTGAAAAGCTAATTCTAAATTTTTATTTTGAAAGCATAAACAACCCAAGTATTCTTAATGTAATTAACTATTGTCTGTTAAAGCTAAATTTAGCAATAAATTCTTCCTACTAAGAAAAGCCAAGTCTGAATTCCTGGTTTGTCACAGGGATACTGGGATGCGATGACTATATGTTTAGTTGCTTGTGACCAAATGAATTGTGACCCAAAAAATTCAGAATTTCCCAGTAATATTGGTTATTGCAACAACTGACTCAAAACAGTTTTTTGACCAGCATGAGTTTTAAGCCCATGATAGGTAGATATCTTTAAAAAGAAATAACTGAGTCTTCTGAACTTTTGCTACTTGTGTCACAAATATCTTTTTTTTCTCCACCCTTTGTTTGGAACCACTGTAACTTTTAGCAAAATATAGAATATAAATTATTGGTTAATTAGGAGTTTAAGTATGAAATTTTAATAAAATCAAATTCTTTACAAATTGTAAGGTTTCTTACTGTGCTCATTCAGACAGAATTCTATTCAAAAGAGCATTTGGCTTGATTTTCTGGGAGGTATATTGACATTGAATTCTAATTTTAAATATATTTTTCATTGATTTTAGAGAGGAAGGGGGGAAGAGAGAGAGAGAGAGATCAATGATGAGAGAGAATCATTGATCGGCTGCCTCCTGCACACCCCACACTGGGGATTGAGCCCATAACCCGGGCATGTGCCCTGACCTGGAATCGAATCGTGACCTCCTTGTTCACAGGTCAATGCTCAACTATTTAAGCCCGCCGAGCTTAAATATCTAGTTTTAGATAAACAAAAAATATAGTGATTTTTGGTCAGCAAGTCAAAGGGAATTCAGGTTCATCGCATTAAAAGCAAAATACTAAGGCATGATACTTGCTAGAGAGATTTGACCACTGAAGAAATCCCCAGTAGAAGAATCTCCTAAAACTAGAAATTCTTATCTATACGAGGAAGGGATAATAAGAACTTATATGACCCCTTGGCATGTCTTTGATTAGTCAAGACTGCACCATATTCTTTTCCATTGACACTTATTATATTTCTTTCCATAGGGACAAATTGTTAACACTAATATAAATAAACTAGAGGCCTGGTGCACAGAATTCATGCACGGGGGGCGGGGGGGGAGGCCCTCAGTCTGGCCTGCACCCTCTCACAGTTTGGGACCCCTTGGGGGATGTCCGCAATTCAGGACCCTTCACTCCTTACCGCCTGCCTGCTTGCTGCTCCATACCGCTCAGCTTGCTGCTCTTTAGCGCTGCCTCGGAGGTGAGAGAGGATCCTGCCACCGCCGCTGTGCTCGCCAGCTGTGAGCCTGGTTTCTGGCTGAGCAATGCTCCCCCTGGGGGAGTGCACTGACCACCAGGGGGCAGCTCCTGCATTGAGTGTCTGCCCCCTGGTGGTCAGTGCGCATCATAGTGACCTGTTGTTCTGCCCTAACAGTTGCTTAGGCTTTTATTATATAGACTAGAGGCCTGGTGCACAAAAATTTGTGCACTGGCGGCGGGGGGGGGGGGGTGTCCCTCAGCCCCACTTGTGCCCTCTCACAGTCTGGGACCCCTCAGGAGATAACGACCTGCTGGCAGGGCCAATCCCTAGGTGCAGCCCCTGGTCGGGCTCAGAACAGGGCCGATTGGGGAGTTGGGGTGCCGCCCCCTGTCATGCACAGAGCAGGGCGGATCGGGAGGTTGCGATGCCACCCCCAGTCATGCTCAGGATAGGGCCAATTGGGGGGTTGGGGCACCGCCCCCTATCACACTCAAGGCAGGGTCGATGGGGAAGTTGTGGCGCCACCCCCTGTCACGCACAGAGCATGGCCCATCAGGGGGTTGGGGAGCTCCCCCCCGTCACACACAGAGCAGGGCAGATCAGGGGGTTGGGGAGCTCCCCCCTCCACGCACAGAGTAGGGCCGATAGGGGATTTGGGGCACCGACCCCTGTCACACACAGAGCAGGGCGGATCAGGGGGTTGGGGCGCCGCTGCTGTCACACTCAGGGCAGGGCCGATGGGAGGTTGCGGCTCTACCCCGTCACACACAGAGCAGGGGCCATGGGGGCGTTGGGGCGCCTTCCCCTGTCACACACAGAGCAGGGTCAATCAGGGGTTTGGGGAGCTCCCCCCTATCAGGCACAGAGCAGGGCCGATCAGGGGATTGGGAGAGCTCCACCCTATCAGGCACAGAGCAGGGCCGATCAGGGGGTTGGGGCGCCTTCCCCTGTCACGAACAGAGCAGGGCAGATAGGGAGGTTGAGGCCCCGCCCCCTGTCACACACAGAGCTGCAGGGCGATCAGGGGGTTTGGGCGCTGCCCCCTGTCATGCTGCTCCAGGGGCCAGGAGGCCTCGCGGCTCCGCTGATCCCAGGCCGGAGGTCTCGGGGCTCCGCTTGACACCGGGGCAATGAGGCCTTGCGGCTCCGCTGATCCCGGTGCCAGGAGGCCTCTCGGCTCCGCTGATCCTGAGTTCGGGAGGCCTCGCGGCTCCGCTGATCCCAGGTTCAGGAGGCCTCGAGGCTCCGCTGATCCCGGTGCTGGGAGGCATATTACCCTTTTACTATATAGGATAGAGGCCTGGTGCACAGGTGGGGGCCAGCTGGTTTTCCCTGAAGGGTGTCCCGGATCAGGATGGGGGTCCCGCTTGGGTGCCTGGCCAGCCTGGATGAGGGGATGATGGCTGTTTGCAGCTGGTCACACCCCCTTCAGGGTGGGGGTCCCCATTGGGGTACCTGGCCAGCCTGGGTGAGGGGATGATGGCTGTTTGCAGCTGGTCACACCCCCTTCAGGGTGGGGGTCCCCACTGGGGTGCCTGGCCAGTCTGGGTGAGGGGCTGAGGGCCGTTTTCAGGCTGGCGGGCGACTGAAGCTCCCAACCTCTCCTTTTTTCTTTTTTTTTTTTATTCTGGGATTTATTTACCTTCTATGGCTGTCACTGGAGCTGAGAGCCGGCTCCAGCTTGAGGCCTCGGCTGCTGAAAGCAGGGATCTGGGTTTGTTTGGGTTCTATAATTGTAACATTGTTTCGGTCCTGCTCGCTCCAGCTCTGACGGCTGAAAGCAGGATTCTGGGTTTTATTTAGCTTCTATAATTGTAACAATGTTTCTTAAACTACAAGCTCAGAGGCCGGCAAGGCAGGCAGGGAACGTTGGCTTCCTCCGTCACTGGAGCAAGCAAGCTTCCTGTTCGCTTCAAGCTGCCTGGCTGCCAGCTGCCATCTTGGTTGGCAGTTAATTTGCATATTGCCCTGATTAGCCAATGGGAAGGGTAGCGGAGGTACGGCTAATTACCATGTTTCTCTATTATTAGATAGGATACCATTATATAAGCCAGAGAAATGAAGAAAACCAACCACCAGACTTTATGGGACACCTCTTGAGATATCCAAGTACAGAAAGGAAGTTGTTTTTCAACCTGTAGGGGCTGAGGATATATATTGGGAGTCTTTCAGAGAAGCAGTTGCTTATGATAGATAGATAAGTGGGTTGAGGGGATAAAAGCTGTATTTTGCATCTTCATTGTTCTGAGCCTGTGTTGGAATTCTGGTACTTTCCTCATCACATCACTGCCTGATCTATCCATTAGATTTCTTTTCCTTCACTCTTTCTTTTGTTATATTGGGAGTTTATTAAAAATTTTGATTTCCCCACTAAAGTGCTTTTCAATCCTTCAGTGCTATATAAATGTTAAATAATTAGGTTTTAGTTTGCACACATTTCATGTTTTAGATGACATTGTTTGCATTCTTTTAATTATTATATTCTTAATTTGAAAATTTTAAATAGATTTATAATGCAGATGGATTAATTTGACCATATGTATGAGCTGAACTTTTCTAATAACTGAGAAATTTTAATTGTTAGACTAGCCATAGTTTCTAAGACATATTCCTTTATTCATACCGGAGGGCTTCATTTTCTGTGAGAAGAGAAAGGATGATGAGGGTATGGAGGAGCAACCCTGGGATGGACCATCAACACCTGGGCCCTCCTATAGGATGTATCTTTTGTTCCCTACTTTAGAAATATTTTTATAGAACATGAAAATAATATATCATTAAACTAGGTTAAATCAGTATAATAAGGCAAGAAAGACAAAGGAAGAATATATTAGAAAGTTGTCATTGTTTGTAGATGATGTGATTGGCTATTTAAACAAATCTCAAAGAATCTACTGATAAATCAGTAGAATCAATAAGAGAATTTAGCAGGTTGTTGCTAATAAGGTCAAAGTATAACATTCAATTACATTTCTATATACTGGAAACTAACAGAAAATTCAATGTAAAAAGAGCTTTTATAATAGCAACAAAAGATATAAAGTAGATATGAATAAATTTAACAAAAAAGATATATGATATAAAACCCCAGCAGAGATCCAGTATCATCATCATCATCATCATCATCAAGTGAACATCCTTGTAACAACTATTTAGGTCAAAATAGAACATTGCCAGCTCTAACTGGTTTGGCTTAGTGGATAGCATCGGCCTGCAGACTGAAGGGTCCCAGGTTCGATTCCAGTCAAGGGCATGTACCTTGGTTGCGGGCACATCCCCAGTGGGGGGTGTGCAGGAGGCAGCTGATCGATGTTTCATTGATATTTCTAATTCTCTATCCCTCTCCCTTCCTCTTTGTAAAAAATCAATAAAATATATTTTTTAAAAAATAGAACATTGCCAGTATCATAGTCATTCACCCTCCTTTCTTTTTCAATCACATCTTCTTCTTTCTCCCAGGGGTAAC